TTGCGTAAGTCATCGAATTATCTGTTAGAAAAGAAGTCGATTGCCAAGCAGCCGTAACTGACTGTTGCTCCTCACTAACTAGCTACTGCTAGCTGGGGTACTTTGTACAGTGGGGCCAAAATTAGCGATGTGTAACGAAAATATTTTAAAATTTGTAAAACACTCTAGCCCAAGCAATAGTTGAGATACTATATCGTTATTGCAATTAAAAGCTGATTTAATATAAGATTTAGCAGACAGCTTTTGACTTCTACTAATATTCAAATTTTAATTATTAATATATTTGATCCATTTAGTATTGCTATATATTTGTTAACTATATTTTATAGCACAGAACTATTTTTAAGTTGTTCTCTTGTGTTTATTTTTTAAACTGTATGTATCTATCACTGTTTAATTTGAAACTCATTCATTGGCCAAATATAAATCCGTTTTATAGTTCATTAATTAAACGTAAAATATTTATTTAATAATTTACAGACTTATAGAAATTCCTTTGCCTTGCAATTTGTAAAATTTACCAAAATTTAATATATTTAATTTTTAAAAATTTACTATTTATTATTTTTATATCTATATGTATATACATTTGCACTTAGCTAATTTTTAATACCTATAAATAATATATATTATAAAATCTGTATTAAAGTTTTATTTTTATATCCAATCAATAATAAATTTAATTTATATATATAGTATATATAAAAATGAATGGATTTATATAAATCTGTATCACAGTTAGCTCATTTCTATACGCAACTTTTAATAATATTTATCATTTATATGCTCTGAGCTTATCTGCTTATTATCCACATGCCACATGTCGTCCCGCTGTTGCACTAGTTTATAACGATTTATCTAGCTTCAGTCTACAGCTGGCCACGCACTTTTTAAATATAAAAATTTCACTTTACCAGTGATTTCTATGCGACGTGTTAAGCTCTATTATCAACACACACGCACACACGCACAGCTGCACTCTATTTGCCCACTGTGCTATGGGACGCTCACAGTGACTTATATAAGTATATAAACGCACACGCAGGCTTATTCTCGTATATAAGACAACTGCTCCGTTGTGTGCCATTTAGCTGTTGTCTCACGCGTGCGTTTCATTCCACTCCACCCAGGCTTATCTTATCAGACCTACCTCCCCTCTCTTTCGCTGCCTCCTTTTCTGTATCTCTGCTCTTTTCCATTGACTTGTTTGTGCTCTTAATTTTTTCGCCAACTTTGCAGTTTCGCAACGTTTTTATATGATTTTTATACTTACGTGATATATTTTTCTGATGCGCCGTCACTGCTGGTACACTTTTTATTATCGGCGTCAACATCAAGATAAACCGTCCCAGCCCCACCCCCAATCGTCCCTCTGTATATGTGTATATATACATTGTATATGTGTCTTTGTCTTTGCCAGTCGACTGAGGGCCTGTTTATTCAATTTCATTTATTGATTTTATATCCTTACGTATTATCGGACGATATGTGTGTTAAGTGCGCTCCATTTCCACAACTCAACTTAGTTGTGACGGCCAAAACCCGTGTGTCGATTCCTGTTGTCCAAGTACTGATCCAGCTTGCGCCAAAATTGCATCAGAATAACGGAGTCCTGACTGCGGTCATCCTCTGGTAGACTCAGTATATGGACCCGCAACGATTCCAGATCCGGATCAAGCGGCTTGCCCTTATAGTGCAAGTGGAAGGCACAATACCGGCGACAGATGGTGTCTGGGTCGGAATTGGGCCAGCCAATGAACTGCTGTCGGGGATTAAGGACGAATACGGCCACAACCTGATACCAGTCCTCCCCTGTCAGCTCGGCCACACTGTCCACAACTCGATAGTGCTGCTGTTCGCCTCGCACGCTGCGCACCACATTCACCTCTTCCAGCAGCCGTTGATCCGAGCGCCTTATCGTAGACGTCGGCACGAAGCACAGCTCCTGCAGCACGAACTTCACATTGTGCAGAGTTATCAGGCTGGTGAGCTCACCCGGCAGAATAACGATGGGCCTGCGCATCGATCGAGGAGCATGCGACGGCTGGCGCTGCGGCGGTGCGTATAGCGGCTGGCGGTGCACCGGCTGGCGAGGCGGTGGCCCGAACGGGGGATCACGATATCGGGAACGCGATCTATTTTGATATCGGCCGCCAGCTGGCTGATTTCGATGATAAGTGTATTCATTGCGGCGCGGCACCGGCAGTCTCGGCGGACCCATCGGCTCTAGAGCAGGAGCAGGAGAAGGTGCTGGACGTGGTAGTTGATGCAGGGAAAGTGGTCGCGGAATTGGGTGTCGTGCATATGACTGGGCCAGCATTTGAGGATCCACAACGGCTTGTAAATGAACTGGAAAATCCAAAGGATACGGCAATGGCGGAGCAATGAATGGCTGCTGTAACGGTGGTTGCTCTTGCAGGAATTGTGGCAGCTGCTGTTGCTGTTGTTCCTGCTGCTGTTGCTGCAGTTGCTGCAGTTGAAGCTGCTGTTGCTCCAGCAGTTGCTGATTCTGCTGCTGCAGTTGTTTGAACTGTTGCTGCTGTTGACTCTGCAGCAGCTGCTGCTCCTGAATATGCTGCTGTGCCTGCTGGTACTGCTGCTGCCCCTGCTGTTGCTGTTGCTGCTGCTGCTGTTGCTGCTGCTGCTGCTGCTGCTGCTGCTGCTGTTGCTGCTGCTGCTGCTGCTGTTGCTGCTGCTGCTGCTGTTGCTGCTGCTGCTGCTGCTGCTGCTGCTGCTGCTGCTGCTGTTGCTGCTGCTGCTGCTGTTGCTTCTGCTGCTGCTGCTGCTGTTGCTTCTGCTGCTGCTGTTGCTGCTGCTGCTGCTGCTGTTGTGCCTGCGGTTGCTGCTGCTGCTGCTGGGCCACCCCCATCGTCTTTAGCTCCGTCGTCACAACGGGCACCTCGCCCAGCTTCGACGACTCCGGCACGCCTTCCGCCGCCTTCGGCTTCTCCAAAAAGCAGCCTTTTTCTATATCATATATGCGTGCCAGTGTGTGCAGTACTTCCGGAAGCTCCTTCTCGGCCATGAGCTGTTGCTCAAGCGGTCGATTTTGATGTTCGCGCTCCATCGCCAAGATGGCCACATTCACTTTGCGCTCCACCGCTTCTTTCGAGCCATGGTATTCTAGCGATGTTAGCCCTGCGAGCTTTAGCGTAATATCATATAAAGCTTTGTCTCCCGTCGCTAGGCAGGCAACCCACAATTCTGGTGACTCTTTCTCGCTGGGATCCTCTGGTTGCTTAGGTTCTTCTTCTTCTTCGGTCACTTTAGCTTCCATAATTGCAACTTTTCGAAATCCCAAACACAAATGCTCTCCTTCAATTTGATAAGATGACAGTTTAGATTAGAGCTGCCAATGCAAAAGTGGATTGCTTTACAAAAGCAATCCGAATGACAGTTGGTGCTGCCAACTTGTTCAAATAGATGTCCTTAACTGTCATCTAAATTCAGCTGGTTGCTCTTTCGATTTCTTGCGTAATTTATGTAAATAAATAAATTTTTTTAGATGTAATTTTTTATATCTTTATGGCTTCGACATTAGCCAATGGCTTTTCTTTTTTCTTTTTTTTTTTTTTGTCGCCGATTTGCTTTTATTTATAAGCTCTTTTTCTATATATTTGGCAAAGTTTCTTTAGCCTCGACTCTGCTAGGAGCCCCATAAAAAATATTGTGCTCTTCTTGATGTTATTGACTTTAATAACATTTTAGCTGCGAGCCATGAAAATATTTTTGCAAAATCTACTTTAATACTCTTGCTGAGGGCAATGTGAGTATCCCTTTGGAAATGTGGTTGAACTGAGTGTATGAATTTATATTAATTATAAGCCGAAGACCCCAGTTGCTAGTGCTTAAATCCTAATTAATTATAATTTGAAATGAATAATTAAATATTTATTATAGAATCAAAATTGATAGAGATAGATATTATAGCAAGTTTTTATTCATCAAGTGTCAGGGTATTTAGGATGCGCTATGCTCCACGCCGCATTCTTCGTATTGTTTTCATACTCATTTTCCCAAGTTTTTCATGAATTTGTGGTGCTTTGTTTTCCGCTTGTCGCTGACGCACAACGAAATTGATTTGGGGGCTTGGGCCAAGGCCGTCGGCCCGTCGCTTACTTAGCCCACAATTTGTGCAGCGTCCACTCGAGCTGTTCTAACTGCCCTAAACATATGCTCAGCGCTTAGTGGCCGTAACCCAGCGACATCTCGAATTGCCATTGGGCTACACGTAATTGCCAAAGCGAAATTTCATTACCAAGGGCGGGGGCATGGGGGGCTGGGGAGCTGGCGAGCCAACTGCACTCGAAATCCGCTGTCAGAGACGAGGGTCGCGTGTGATAAATTCCATAAAAGGTCGTCCAAATGAAATTCTCGCCCAGCGCCTGGCACTTTAGCCTGGCAGCCATTTTGTCGCTGCACTAGAAAATGGCGGCGTCGCCATTTTTGTTTATGGCCGCATTTGTCACAGCAAATTGTATTGCCAGTCGGCTCCTAGCTGCTGCTGCGGCTGCTGCTGTTGCTACTCCTGCTGCGCCTTATGTCTATGTGTGTGTGTGTGTGTGCTCTGTGGCTCATGCAATGCGCGTTAACAATGCGCCATAAAAATGTCTGCCCTGTAGGCTCACCTTACGTCTGGCAACGCCAGCATGTTAATTAAGTTCATAGAATGAATGACGATCCCATGGCCAGACGAGACCAAAAAGGCCAGCTCGTATGCATATTAGACTAACTAAAAATAGATAAATATATTAAATAAGAGCACTTGAACTATTCAAAGAGAGAATAACTTTACATTTATACGTAAAGAAAGTCAATTTACAATTTATTTAGAAATTTAATTGCATTTTATTATTGAGCTTTACTTTGGCTTAGCTCATTCCAAGAATGTTGATATTTGAACAATTTGTATATATTCATTAAACATACTTATTTATTATGCTTGATTTCCACTTCAACAGTAATTTATTTAGTTTTATTGGATAAACGCAAACATTTTATAGCCCAAATATTTAGAACAGTGTGTTATTCGCTTAAATTGATGAAATGCTATGATAATAAAATGATTTACTCATATGGAAAACTCGTTTACAAAGTGAACAAGCGTCAGCGGATGGGCAAGAGCTCGTTAGGTGCTGCAAAGCGCTTCGAAGCCATTTCTTTGCGAGCCGTATGCCGTGTGCCAGCTCTATGAATCAGTTCTGCTGTACCTAGAGTTGCCTCAGTGAGGGCGTGCCATGCAAATCGAGACTGCTGCAACTGGGCCGCATCATTACGTAATGGCTTAGCCTATTGAAGCCAGCCAAACTGTAATGGGCAATAATAATAATTATTAATTGCTATCAGATATACATCAGATATATCCTGGCCTGGCTCACCACTTCAGGTCGAGTGCCTCCGTCAGCTGCGAGCTATGTTCACTGATGCTGCGCGCCGGTAGCCGCTCCTCCTGCATGGAGCTCATCAGCGAGCTCAGCTCCTGTTGCAGCTGGCCATTGTAGAAGTGAACCAGTTTGTTCATCGATTTGTAGCTGCGGGAGATCAGCCGCTGCAGCTCCAAAGCGTCTGCATCTGTGGAGGCTGCCCTGGGCGTGCCAGTGTTGGCCATTTCTTGTTGGCTTTGTTTTGTTTGTTGAGTAAATATTTTGGTCTTTTAGATTTTTTTTTTGTTTTTATTTTTTTATTTTTTATTTTTTTTTACCGAAATTTATGTGGAAGAAAAACTAAAACTAATATCAGTTGACATAGGCCGCCCAGGGGCCTGCCTGCCAGGCGAAAAACAAACAAAGGCAGTTGACACAGTTTTTACAAAACAAAAAATCATTTTTCATTTGCTTTTTGTATTTTTTGGAGGTATTTTCTAAAGCCAGCGAAGCGCGAGACAAAAGCCGAAAAATGCACATACATAACGTCCACTCTAGGAGGGACCGGAATTCTGTAGGAGATTCGCATTTGCTTACGCAATGCGAGCAGCGATGAGGAAATGTCCATTGGGCAGGATTTGGTGGCTAGCAATCGGGGGATTTGTTGCCTTTTTTTTAAATATTTTTGACGAGTGCCCAGCGGCCGCAGTCAAGTGCATGAAATTGAAAAAACGCTTCCAGCGCTTATCAATGCAAAGCCAAAACCGAATGTTTTTTCTCCAAAATGCGTGTGCGTGTGCGTGTGTGTGTGTGTGGGTGCAGCTGATTTGATTCGGCTTTGATGCTGGCCACACAAAAACAAAAAAAGCAGCCATTTGAAAACTGAAAACAATCTCTCTTAAGTGGGTGGCTCACATGGCCAAGCAGGCGAGTCCGAATTTCGGCCAGTGGCTCGAGCCAATTATGTGCTGCGGCCCTTTTTTATTACACACAGCCGCACAGTGTGGCCGTTAACATAAAGCAAGAGGAAAATCATTTAACGACGACAGCGTCAACGAGCAGCCAAACAATTTTGTCAGCTTATAAACAGTAAAAATAAAATGCCAGGGCTAAACAAATAAGGCGGCAAATAGAAAGGAGCAACGAAGGCGCCAGCAGGCAAAGACTGTGGGATAAATATTCGTGTGCACATCACAATAAAGCGCCAATGAGAGGCACATGTGCACACAGCGCCATATAAAGCACACACATACACACACACACCATGACACTCCCATGACCAGATGATCAGACATTTGTAGCCCCTTCAATGCGGCATCTTTATTGCCCTTGGCTGGCAAATTGTTTTCATTTTCATGTGCGGGGCCATGCCAAGGCCAACGACAGCTTTGGGGATATTCCAGGGCTACTTAAAGACAATGATTTTGACTCGTTATTAAATACTTAAAGACCAAAATGAAAACGCCTTTACATGGGAATTAGTTGGCCAGCAATGCCAGTGAAATTTGTTTCCCTTTTATATATATGTACATATATGTATAAGTCCATCCATCAGCTCAGTGGAAAATATTTCGCCAGAGCAGTTCAACACAATTTTCCGCATCATTTCAGTTATGTTTGCAGCAGCAGCGAAAAGGCATGCCTCAAGCCAGCAGCCAATATTGTTGACAGCAAATTGAATGCAGGTTGAGCCTGTTACTCGGGGCGTATGCTTGATATTTGCGGGTGGCTCAACTGCAGCGCTTTGAAGTGCTTGCAACTGTTGCACACACATGCGGCAACAGGGGGCACAGCAACATGATGCGACTTACTGCCATTCCGCCGACTCCTGCTCCTACTCCTGCTTTTACTCCTGCCAGGCAAGTGCACGCGACGAGCATTTCAAGAAAATGAATGAAGTTGCCAACTTGTTTGAACAAGTTGAAAAGGTTAGTAAAAGCGTCAAGTGGCCAGTCCACCTCCTGCTGTTGTTGCTCCTGCTGTGTGTGTGGACTCTCGAAAACAAGCTCATCAACAACAAACGTCGGCATGACGATGATGTAGCCTTCGTCCCCAACATCGCATCGTCTCTCCCGTTCACATGCCCATTGACAGTCAGCAGCGCACTTGCAGTTCATATCCGTTCGCTATTCCTTTGCCTCGCGGTCCATACAGCTGGTGCTGCTCCTGCTGCTGCTGCTGCTGCTTCTCCTCCCGTTCGTGTTACGACCATGTTTCAGTCACTGCCCATTGTCCTCGTCATTTCAAATTGAAGACGTTTCGATGTCACACTCTGATTTGCTGTCCACTCGAAACGGCCCAGCAAATACCAACTGAATTGCACTCGTAACAGACCTTAAAGTTCGGCGCTCCAGTTGCAGGTCGTTCGCGTCTGCCTAGCCAGAGCATGCGGCATCGGTATATATACTACGTGCTCTTTAACATTATCTCAATGTCTGTTGGCTGGCAAATTTACCTAATTAGGTAGATATGCTATCCATATTATATCTTCTGTTATCGATTGGTGATTTGGATGATGAAATATGTTATATAAATACAGGATATCAAATTTTGCCATCGATTGTATTTTTTTTCATTATGTAAATTTAAATTAAAATTTTTATCTGACTAAAGGAAATATCAAATAATTTGTTATCGATTATGATAAGCATATCATATCAATCGTTATCGATTTATACATCATATATATAATAAAAGAGTATTATATATTGAATTGAATATTATTATAAATAGAAATCAATCATATCATATCTTTTGCCAACTATTGAAATATATTAAATGAATCTTTTATTTATTCAATAAATTTGATTTATTGATGCATGCCAGCTTAATAAGTGCGCTGCCACAGCGCCTATAAGTAGGACGCATGCAACATTTCTACAAAAGGATCTCTTTCATCTATACATAGTTAGCTGAGAAGTGGCAGCTGGTGACAGGCAGCATAGCTTTTCCATTAAGGCAGCTCGCTCCTATTCTGTGGGTCTACGGCGTCTTTGCAGCTTATACAGCCAATCAACGGGCCAGGCCTGACAGTCAGGTGTATGCAGGCATATGTGTGTGTGTGTGTGTGTGTTTGTATGACATTTGCAACTTGCCAGTTGCTGCGCTTCAAACGGAAATTGCGACATTCCTTTGCTTTTGCCACACGTCGCTTGCCTATGCTTTGCAGCTGCTTAAAAAAGTGTGCACGTATGCTAATGCTCCACAACACACACACAGACACACACACACACACATACATGCGCTAACGCTCTCCCACACATGCTGGAGCAATCGCTCAGCCACATGCACTAAGTGTTTTTGAAATTACGGTAATTTATTACGGGTCCAGCAACGAGTAAAATGTTTTTGCAGCCACGCCTCCCACTCCCCCGCCCCAAGCAGCAGCAGTGCTGCAATTGGCAAAGTGTGTCAACAGTTGCAATGCTTTGGCTTTTGCCACTTGACAGATTGCCGCACAGTGGCACAGTCTGTCCCACAGCAGACAACTGTTGCCGGCACCACCCACTCTACCCACTCCACCGACTCCACTCGGCTGCTCTGCAGCTCTCCAGTTTTCCAGCTGCTCTTCAACTTGTAACTTAGGCAGCTCGTCAGACGTTTTTTTTTTTTGTTTACTTGCTGCTGCATACTGTTATGTGCAATTTTGTGTACAAATATATTTGAAGCTCACACGCACACACACACACATGCACACACGCACATGCACATGCACACGCACACTCTAATACAGACACCGTTTACTGTGAACTGTGAAATTTTACTAATTGTTTTGCCGCCAATTACGTGCGCAAGTATGTGTGTGTGTGTGTGCGTGTTGGCATGCATCTGCCCTTAGGTGTTGCCATGACTGCTGTGTGCATGTGCGTGTGTGTGTACATATGTGTGTGTGTATTACCTGCCATTTGATGTATGAGCACAGTTTATTAAAATGTTTTGCCCTCTGCAATTTTACGAATGCCTTTTTAGTCGCAATTTGCAACTTTTGCATAATATTTAACACACATTTCCATGCTGGTTTTTGCGGCGGAATGTTGGCTGTGGAATGGGGGAATGTGTTGACGAATGTTACAAATTGTTTTATTTAAAGTTCAGAAAAAAATATAAAATGGATTAAATGTAATTCGTGCTAAAGAAATTTTTAAAAACTGTTAACTAATTAAAAAATTTACACTTGGAGTTCTGATTATAAAAAAATATAATAATATGGTTTCGTTGAATATGTATATTTTAAATAAGACTGAATTAAGGTTTCCATAATTTAGATCAGTAAACTTTTCAAAGCTTAAAACTATTAATATAAATTTAATTAGATTTAACTTTTCAATTAATTTCATTTCAAGATTAAGTTCTAAAATCCACACTGAAGCTTTTATGATATTTGGGATATATTTATATGTCACATTGATTATTCTCAGTCTTAAACAACAATTCAATAACAATAACTCCTTAACAAAGTTCTCCGTTTTGTTTTTGTTTTCTTTTTTTGTGCTTAAAACATATTTATTCTTAATAAAATCTTTCGTTAAGTACAATTTAAGTTGACGCAAAAGGTAATTATGTCCTGAGGCCATTAAGCATTAAACAAACTCCCACACAGCCTTAAAAAGAGCAGTGGAAAAAGCAAATGGTATGATTTTTCCGCCTCCTGCTTTACAGGCGCCGCAGCGAGGCATTAAGCAAAAGAAATTGTCGCCTCTTACGCTACAACACGCATTGGGCCCGTGTTGAAACGAATTGGCGAGCGAGCATATATGGCAGAGGGAAAAACAAAAAGAAGCAATGAGAAAAGAGGAAAACCAAACTTTTGTGAAAATAAATGATTATTTAATATTTATTTTCGTATTGCTTGGAAATGCGACCGCGCTTAATGCCTACTGCTCAGACGGCTCTTGCATCATTTTTCATGCCGCACGAAAAACGGCCTCCAGTCGCCCAGAATAAGTGCCTCACTGCGCCAGGCTATTAATGCCAGTTGATTGGGCCGCAAGGGCAGAGGGGGCGGCCAACGTCTATAAGGGATGTATACATGTATATATACATTTATACATACATATACATAAACACGTATGACCAAGTATATCCCATATATGTATTTATTATTTAGCCAACGTTTGTGATTATTTACGCCTGATAAGGAAAGCAGCGGACCGGCTGGCCGAACGGCCTGTCAGCCTGCCAGCCTGCCAGACTGAGTGTAAAAATGATTGAGTATCCCAGACTGGACGTGGTTCAAAGCACCGAAATCGCCATTGTTTGTATAACAGTGCGTGTGTGTATG